GAAAGAGTTGGCGGTAGGTTCCGCATCGAACTTCGTCAACGACCGTTGGCTCAAGGTCAACGAATATTGCACGCGGCACGTGCTTGCCCGAACCAGTCTCACTGAAGAAGGTGTTGAAGGAGTCGTCACCACCACCGACGCTCTTGTCGCTGGGCATTTGGCCATCGGGCTGGATGCCATGTTCGAGGCAGTAGAGTTCCCAACAGGCATTGCCCATCTGGACACCGGCTTGGCCGACATGTACGCTTATGCACTCACGCTGAATTTAAGATGTTTATGGGAAGCCTAAATGACTTACCATTTTGAATTGAAGTAAAAATTGGCAGGCACGTCCCGAATCCCTAGGGCTCAAACGGAGCGGAGGGCGAACTTGTAGTGTTTGTCTTCTCTATGCGGTTCGCCTTTATACGCTTATCTGAGAGGTAGCAAAGTACTGGATTGCTATTGGACGAAACCGCTACTGCCCAATAATTGCGACACAACTCCTCCCTGCAAATGATTGGCTGTCGTGTGTATGACAGTGAGATGGAGAGTCAGCCATCGTGTTACGCAAAGTAAGTGCTACCTTCCGTTTTCCTCGCGCTATCCAATCAGGCTGTTTGGGCGCACCGCAGGAATTAGTATCCATATTTCATTAGCCATGTTAGCGGACAGTTATGTATGGCAGAGCATCATAAATAAATGATGCGTAAAACATAGCCCTTAGGGGACACGAACAGTGTTTTCGGGTGGACAGAACAAGGCTTGCCCAGGCATACATAACGAAGGCAATAAGGATACCGATGAGTTGTATCTCAGGGGTATAATTTCCGGTATGGCGAGTGGTTATCGTTTAGCTTTTCCTCTTGTGAAAATACGAATTACTGTCCTGCTCTTTCCACAAAGTTTGCCGCTGGCCAAACAACTCAAGAAAACTGGCAGTGGACGCCGTAGCAATGGCTGTTGAGACTAAATAGACCACCTACACTCCTCACACTCAACCCCGTTCATAAGTACGAAAGAAAAAAATTCAGAGGAATATATGGAGTTCGGATCTCCCAAAAGATAGTGCTAAGAATAAGCAGTACTTAAGAGCTATGATAGCCCAACCTTCATTTGAGAATTCAAACGAGTTGCCCATTTGAAGTTCCTCGGAAGATATCGTGCACACTCGGTGTAAATTCTATCACAACTCTTTTCAGAGCCGGTCCGAAAGTCGAAGTGAAATCCCTCAGCTCCGACAGAATAACAGCACAAGTTGCCAACGGGTAGCCGGTGCTATTTAAATGTGTTGTGATTCCCCTTATTGACAGCATGAATACTAGACCGAAGCTAGGGCGCCCGTGTTTTACCAGCCTTGTGCATCTGTGTGGTGCAGTAGCGAAAGGTTCGGCTCATCAATGGGTCTCCCAACGTTCTACGCAGGCTTCCGGCTATCTAGAGTCTTACTAACCGGGCTGTCAGTGTGGTAACTCATTTACTGCTTATTGACAGCTTGTGAACACTACACGACATTCCACAGTAGCTGATTGATTTCAATGCAAATTTTCATATTGAATTTCGGACCGAGCTTGAAAAACTTTGTCCCAAAGGGCTTTCTCCAAGTTGGCGCATTACTTTCGGCGGAGACGAAAGAGAGCAGCATTGAAACTGGAGTTTAGATGCGAGAAAGCGCATGGCGAACACTGCGGGACCCATTGATGAGCCGAGCCCCTCGCAGCTGTGTCATGCAGCGGCGCAAGAGCTTCAGAGCATGCGCATCTCGGTTTTTATCTGATACCTGCGCTGTTTATGTGGCAACTGATCCAGTATGTGTAAGATCACCTGCATTCATTCAAGATCAAGCTATTCTGCCAGTTTACAAATTTTTCGGCGCGTTGTGATATCTGCATAGGGAATTTCCTTGTTTACGGTGAGCAACCAAACGCTGGATCCGTGCTGGACGGGACTCATCGGTTCTTCCCTCTTTCATGCGCCGGTGGTTTGTCTGAACCCCTCAGTCGACTGCTAGTGAGACTGGGTACAGTGGCTGTCGCATTGTTCCTACACCGTCTAACTATTGGGTTGGATCAGTGGCTGAAAGTTTTTAGACATTTAGACACCAATCAGTTACAGGACTCATTCATCGCGTTATTCCTTGAGACTCACTCTCGAGCCCTGCCAACAGCCGCACAGCGGCCAGTACTGTAGGCAGATGAATACTGCCGACAAAAACAAGAGAGCTACTTTTGCATAAATTATATTTTACCGATTGGTGTCCCGTATGCGCAAATGATCGAATGGCTTGTTCAGCGGGCAGTTGCTACAAATTTACTGATTGTCACCTGTAAGAAGGACTGACATTCGAAGTCAAAACTAGTTTTTAGATGAGGGAATCTGCTGGTGACCTCCCTATAGATAGACGCTCGAGAAAGCACCTAAGACAGTCGCTCTCACGTTCCATGATCCGTGCCTTCTCCGCCCGTAGGATTCTTTGACCCTAGTTGAACAACAGCCTAATTTCGGTGGGTTGATGAGGTTAGATCGTCCTGACGGCCACCACTAAGAAATTCTTCATTTTGTGACGACCTGCTTAGATTTTAGCTTCAAAGTTTTTTACTGATCAACGGGCAAGCTTTGCGTCAATGGAAGGATTCAGTCCCGTTTTGACAATGGTGCTGTCCTCGCGGTTTCTGTAAGCGTGCTCAGTCGTTATACTTTGTCATTGTTGTCATCGAGTCAGTCTTGGTGTTTTCGGTATGCCATCACATGAATGGTAGGGTCTGGCCTCTTTCAGGTGTGCTCAACTTCTTCATCATCCATGTGGTCCGTAAAGGTTGGTGTTCATTCAACTGGAGGGTTCTGGTTTGTTATATTGAAATTGTATTTATCGATCGAGTTAAAAGACACACTCGACACCTTGTGCCCTGAGACTCAGTCCAAGAAGGCAATCACATGGCGATCATGCATATAAACTGAAAAAAGTACTAAAAAGGTAAGAGAGATGGGGAAGGCAAGGCCTAACTGGACGAGCATATCTCTCAACCCAATCGGTGAACGCAAGTTCAAAATAGTTAATATTCCCGATCATAACTGACAGGACGACGTACATTTGGCTCATTTGACAAGGCGTTTGACACAATGATCGAATTTCAAGTTCTCCAAACCCAGGGCTGTGCATGGCTGGCTGATGACGACTAATAAGCCAGAAATGGCTATCCCGATCTCCCTATTCTTTGTGTCTGGTCAGGTTAACTGTCATCGTTTTCAGTCTTCTTAATGTCTTAATGGATAACGATGATTTCTAAAACCGCTTAAACAGGACACGGGGACAGGAACCATTAAAAATACATGTGGTTTTGTGTCAAATTCCGGGAAAATTAGGTCTATGATTAAAGTGAGGGTTAGGGTTAAGCTTGATTTAGGTTTAAGGTTGGAGTAAAGGTGAGAGTTTGAGTTTGAGTCAGGGTCAGGATTATGTTAGGAGTTAAGGCTTGGCTCGTTTTAGATGAAGCTTTTATGTTAAGGGTAGGGCAAGGGTTAAGATTAAGGTAATAGTTAGGTTTACTATTAGGATTAGGGTTGGAGTTAAGACAGGAATATTTGCCCATCCTAAAATTTATACCAAGGCTACCTATTTTTAGTGCGCAGAGCGTTCTTGTGCCCATGTCCTGTAAAGGCGGCGATACAAGTCATTCTTACCCAATAATCCATCGGGGTTGCAGTGACCCGCTTTATGGTAACTAGGCACTTCTTTCCGGCCGGCATGGTCTGTGAGTGCTCGAGGGGTAAAGTCAACGAGGATAATAATTTGTCTCTTTGCCATAGAAACAGGGTCGGATTGTGATACTGAAGCTGATCCCAACAAACCGGCTGAAGTGACAATGGTGCTGAGAAGAGCAGGAAAACAGGAGAGTCATGGGTGGTGCGAGGATGCTGGTGGTTTTTCGGTTGCATTGATGGTTGCGGTAGTAGTGTTGGCGTTTTTCTATTTGAGTCCCCTTTGCCTCAGTCAGCAGGGGCACAAAGTATGTAGATATAGTCAAACTGCATAACATCAGTGGCCTCACTGAAGAAGGTGAGGAGTCGCCCCACGCAGTCAGCGCACCTGAGCTCGAAGCAGGCTTTACATGGATTGACAGCAGTTGCAAACAGCAGCCGAATGGACGCCCGCATCGGTGAGTTTATAGAGAAGAGCCACAGCGTCGTTGCGTGTCAGGTGAGTCGTGTTCTGCAGAAAGTCTGAGTGCATCGGCCCAGCTGGAAGAAATTGCGCAGGCCAAAAGAAATTTATCTGGACGACAGTATGGTCGGAAGAGACCTTTGGATTTTCTTCTACTCAGTTGTTTAGACTATTGACTACAGTAAGGTCAGAAATTTGTCAGCGAGTAATAAGGCTTTCGTGTTCCCGAGTAGGGC